AAAAGGGAACCCGCTATCTTTTCGATCTCTACGTGCAAGCTATCCACGTATCATACCCCCTAAGTGCCACATCATCCTCCAATAAATGCTACAACATCTCCCACTATATATGCAATTACTATTTTCAGTATACCAATATACAAGGCTTTCAGATTATACCATTCGTTTGGCCTTCATGTTCTCACATAATTCGATGTGGGCCCGTTTGGATTCTTAGAATTGAATTTATTTTAATAATTATAATTTAGGCATAAATTAACTAAGCTAATATGGTTCTATATAGAATATATTTGTATATTATTGTTAGCCATACGAGGGAGATACTTATATGCTGCATTTCTACTATAGGGAAACGAGTTGAATAGTAGAAACATAGCATGGTGATGTATAGAATTAATTTCAATCTCCAACCCTATGAATTTGAGATGGCTTATATGTGAACTTGGAAAGTTGTGGAATGCTAAATTCCAAGCCAAATAACCTAATCCATTAAGTAGATTTCAATTCCTCCAAAATTAAATGATCCAAAAGGCCCCTAAGAATTTTATTTGAATCTTCCATTGGCTTACCTAGCTTTGGTAGCATATCTTTTACATGTAACTATAAGACAATTTTATTCCTAGGAAAATCCCGCAGCAACACTATTTTAATCTGTCATCAAGCACTCTACGACTTCACCTGTACACACGGAAACTAAGAAACACATGTACGTATACGATTCTACTTATTTATTCACTAATAAGTGGACGTCGATATGCATATGCAAGCTAATTTAATTTTCTTTTGTCGGATCCAACCTAGGAGGAATTAGATGGTTTTTTATTAATTAAGAAGAGAAATAGGCACCTAAATTCAGTCTAAGACGAGACTGAACCTGAGTGGTTGGGTGCATTGCCACACCTCTCACCCAACCAGTTCAGCTAGGCTCACTTCCTCTCTTTTTTTTGTCTAACAAAACAACACAAATTAGATTTAACCAAAAATATTTATTTAACAATATCATTAGTTCATTTAATTAATAGCCCATAAGACACGGGGTATTATTACAGCCCCGGTGGTGGTTTGATCATCTACACCTGCGTTTATCTTCTTGTACCTACGTAGCTTGTGTAGTTGTTTCTTGCTTAGTTGTAGTTCTTGTAGCCGAGTAGTTTAGCTCTAGTGTAGTTGCTTTACCTTTGCTAGCTCGGTTATTTTTTTAGTGTGCTTTTGGTAGCATGGTCGTGTGCCCTAGAGTTGTTTACTTTCCTTGCTAGTAGACTTCTGCAGTAGGCTTGCTCGTGGTGAGTAGGCTAGGCAATAGTGGTTATTATGTTGTCATTTCATACTAATCACTTTGCCCTAATCACCTCCTCTAGCCATCTAGATCCTTTCAGTTACACAATCAGAGATATTAACTACACATAGTATCTCATGCAACGCAAGAACCAGTAGTGTGTGTGCTCTACTTAGTTTGTAGTAACAAGACTATCATGTGTAAGAATTATGTTTGTATGAACTTTATGACGCTTGGTTTGTATTGACTTCATCTCTACCTATTATGTATGGTTTTATGATTATGATGTATTCATTATCGAGTCATGTGAGATATATGATTGCAGTGAGATATATGTGATGTTAATAATATCCAATGTGAAATATTACACAGTACCATCTATTTAACTTAATAATAAAAAATATTAAGAATTAGAAATTAAAGTCACTACCGGTTGAAGCCACCGACCCTGCAGTGAGTATCATACTATCAATGCTAGGTAGAGGCTTGACCTCAAAGTGACCACTGTCATGTTAACCTTGTACTGGTTGTGATGACAAGACCATCACTGTTGTTTACCCGTTGCTAGGTCCGATTCCAACAGTGATGCCGTGTTTGGAACCGAAGTGATCCATGACCCTGGAGTAGTTATATTTGTTTCTTACAATCTTATGCCAAATGCCAGCTGCATTTTCCAATCTCCACTACCAATCGCAAAGCATACCATTATCCATCTTTGTCATGAATACCAGCCCTCATATTTTTTGTTCTTTGGTCTTATCAATTACACCATATCACCAGATGATACTACCCTCTTCATTTTACCTCCTCGCCAAAAAAAGTTCACTTTTCTGGTTTTGTCAAGCCTTTTGATGATGGTTTTTACTACAATAAGTAAATAAAGATTGCATACGTAGCCATAAGGGTAAGTTCGGAATCAATATATACTCTTATGAAAGAAGACCCCACTAACATGCAGTTATTTGATAGTTAGCTCTTCACAGAAGCTATCTGCGTCATCAATTGTCTGTATGAAATTATGATAGCTACCTACGTCAACACTTACTAACATGCAGCGGACATCCTTCTAGAACATCCTTCTAGTAGTTTATGAGAAGGACTGGTCCAGCTCTCTTTCCACCCATCTGTTTTTTTTTTCTCGAATACGCAAAAGACTTGCGCTTGTTTGTAATTAAGGTAGAAGAGTTTGATACAAACCCATCTAAGGCTTTTAATCTAGTGATATGAAAGCAATCAAGATATCAAAGTTGGGATCGGAGTTACCAACAGGGATGCCAAGGTACTCTCTCCGTTCCCCTAAAAAATAGAACTCTTGCATTTCAGAAAGTTAAACAATCTCAAGTTTGATTAGGTTTATAGGAAATAGTATAGATATTCATATCTTGAAATTAGTTTACTATGAAAATATATTCCATAATTAATCTAGTGATACTTATTAAGTCAAACTTAATATTGTTTGACTCCTCGAAAAGCTGCCATTTTTATTAATTTTTAGACCAAGGGAGTATTTATTTGGGACAACAATAAAAATAAAACTTGACCCACGGGGGTAAGACACTCCCCGGGCATTGTGGCCATGGAGAAGACCGATGATACATATGCATGCTGCTGCTTACTGACGATGATATCTTGTGCCGGCGACGTACGGTACTAGCTACTGCTTTGCAACTGTGTCTTGTGTGACGTATGTAACTGGTGGTTGAACAATAAGGACGAGCTAGCCATCGTGTTGTTATATGTGTATCGATCTGGCTAGCCAGCATGCATATGCGTCTGCCTTTGTGTGTGTGTGAGCTTTGCTACCTCTCTGCTTGGTGTCAGTCTTGTGCTGTGCTCACGTATGTGGTGTGTGTATACATGTTGGTCCGATCGTAGCATCGGTCCAAACCTTGCATACATCTCTATATGTGTGTCTCTGTAACGATTGGTCTAGGATGACTATATAATAATATATAAAACTCGTCGGCTTTGTGTAGTATATGTGTTTTTATGTGTAATTGAATGTAACGAGCACTTTGCACCATGTTTTGGATGTACAATAGCAAATTGTCAGTGAAGAGAATAGAAATGATCAACGCAATTTGTATTGATTTTTGAACTGTGTCATCATTTATACAAGTTACGAGGGGCTGCAAACCGGGACACATTCTACAACAGTTACTTAGGCCATGCACTTACAGACGATCACGCACGCACGCCGTGGTGATCATGTTTTGTTGAACCTGTTTATAGGAGAACATTACATAGATAATATCGTCAGGTCGTGAAGGGATAATTACGAGAAAATTGGCTGTTTGCTAATTGAAAGAGTGGGCGTCACAACTTTGCTATTCCAAACAATAACTTTGCGTTGCCAGATCTTCCTTGCTCTTGCTGGGAGTCACTGCATAAATCGTGAGGCTACCGTCAAACAAGCAGTATCTTCCTTGCTCCAGAATGCTTTTGTCAACCGCCTTTCTCCCCAAGCGATATCTGAGCTTCAGTCTGTCAGACAAATTATAGAAGCCACCAATCTTGGCGAGGGGGACGACAAGCGCTTGTCTCCTTTCTGCTTGGGAAATGGAAAGTTTGACACTGCTGGAATATATAAACTTCTAAAATCACGGACAAGTGATCGGGACCCATGCTCAAATTTCATCTAGAAGAGTGCTGCGCCGCCGAAGGCAAAATTCTTTCTCTGGCTGTTGGTGCATGGTAGAATTCAGTGCCGGACCAATCTTCTCCGCAAGCACATTGTCGGCTCAACAACCTGTGAAATCTGCGAGGATGCTGATGAATCCACAGAGCACGTCATCCAGGGGTGCCCTTTTGCGGTCTCTTTTTGGGAAGCAATTGGGGTAAGCATGCCATCCCGAAGGCCTCTCAGAGAGCTTCATACAACAGAAAGACCTGATCATATCCCGCATGAACAATTTGGGATGTTTGTTAATCTGTGTTGTTGGCAATTGTGGAAGCGACGCAATGGTATAATCTTCCGACACGAAGCATTAACCAAACGACAAGTACTGCTGGCTTGCAAGCAAGAAGCCGAAGTTTGGAGATTCAAACTGCCGCCAGGCAAACGTCAGCTAATGGATCAGTGGTGTCATATTTTTGATTCGGCAATGTAAACCTTGCGCAAAAATTCAAAATTCCCTCCAATGACGATCAATCTGTAATCGTCTGATCATTGTAACCTGTACTGGGTTGAGCCTGTCTCAAGGCCATAAATGAATACAATTCAGGTGGGGGAGTAATCCCCCGGTGAACAGTAAAAACAATAACTTTGCAAAATTGCCATATGTACCTTAATTTCTTTGCCATAATCCCTATTTAGTTCCTTTTTATGTCTTCTCCTAATGACAGCCATGCAAAAGGACGAATTTGCCCTTCTACAAAATCAACTATCTGGAATACGAATCGATTCGCATCTGACGCATCCTGGCGTGCCCCTGCCGTTCGTTGCAGTGCCGCCGCCCGGAGCGCTCTGGGCGCAGTGTGGTGGTCAACCTCCTTCAGTCTTCATTTTGATTCTATTATACATTTTTTTTGAGTTAAATGCACTAACAGCCCTTAAACTTGTGGCTCCGTGCCACTTAGGTCCACGAACTCTTAAACTCGAAATACAGCTCCTTAAATTTGTTAAATCGTGCACCACAGGTCCATACTTCTTTATGTAACTGCTAACTAGATAAAATTTTATAAAAAAACACCCTATCATTGTCATCTCGTATCTTCAGCTGAGATGGGCACGCATGAGCACGATGAGCTCATAGCCAACGTCGAGAACGGCACCTACGCCAAGCTCATCCGCATGCAGGAGCAGGCGCACGAGGCGGCGCTCGTCAACACCCGCCGCAGCAGCGCCAGGCCCTCCAGCGCCCACAACTCCGTCATCCTGCTGCTGGACGAGGTCACCAGCGCGCTTGACTCCGACTCGGAGACGCTCAGGCAGGAGGCGCTGGACCGCTTCATGATCGGGTGCACCACCCTGGTGATCGCGCACAGGCTTGTGGTCCTTCAGCCCCAGGTAGTTGCTGGCAAATGCCTTGAACGCCTCGAAGTCGCAGAGTGTGAAATGGATGTGAACGTCCAGCTAGCCCGGGCGCAGCACCGCGGTGTCGATGGCGTCCTTGCCCCCGTGCATGGTGAACACCCATGACGCACTCCTCGCCGCAGCACGACACGTCGACGAGGACGAGCGAGCACGGGGTGGTGTGCAGGAGCAGCGTGCGGAGTTCCTCGTCGGCGCGTGATAGGTGGATGTCGTAGCCCAGGAACCTCGTCATGGCCGCCGCGAACGTGGACTTGCTGGTGCCCGGCGGGCCATGGAGTTGGTAGCTCCCACGCCAGATGCGACCGAGGCGGTGGTAGTAGGCGTGACCCTTGAGGAAGCCGACGCCTAGCGCGTCGCGCCCGTGGCCGCATCCACGTCGGCGTTGGCGAACTGCCGCAGCTCGCAGCTGTGCTGCTCCATCTCGTCGCCCATGGACTCCACATGCTGCAGGTAAGGCCGCAGCACGCGGGGCGGTCGTGGCGGCGCACGTGCGGCACTAGGCGCTCGCCGCACCCTCCACTGGCACCGCCGCCGTCCGCGCTGGTCCGTGTGACTGCACGAGGCGAGTGCCGAGGATGTTGCTCCCTCTGTCGCACTCGCTCGCGGCGTCACTCGTGGAGCGCCTCGGCCGAGCTACTCCGGCGCATCTCTGGGGGCCTAAGCACCTCCAAGTTGAGCTGCTGGTGCTTCTGCTTGCACGCTGAGGAGTGGTGGAGCCAACCACCGGAGCAGTGGTGGAGCCCGACGACGTGAACGTGGCGCCGGTGCTGGAGCGTCCCAGGTTCACGCGCTGCGCCCCCAGCAGCGCTGTGTTCGCGTCCAGGATGTGCGCCCCCGCCACGGGGATGTACTTGCCCACGTAGCTCCACGCGAAGGGGTTGCGCGAGAGGGAGACGCCATCAGGGTTCAGGGCCGAGCTTGAAGAAGTTGCCCAGGAGACCAGAGCAGCTGGGCCCGCCCTGCAGCCAGAGGAGCAGCGGCCTGGAGGCCGACGGCGTGACCAGGTCTGTGGCCTCGTAGAAGGAGAAGAAGAGGGAGGTGTTTTTTATAAAATTTATCCTAGTCAGCAGCTATATGAAGGGGCATGGACATGTGATGCGAGTTAACAAGTTCAGGGAGCTGGATTTCGAGTTTGAGAGTTTGTGTACCTAAGTGGCACAGAGCTACAAGTTTAAGGGCCGCCAGTGTATTTAACTCTTTTTTTTATGGAAATATGGCCCTGCAGCCAGGCAATTAGCAGCCGGCCAATGGGACGGAGTCCAGCAGAGGACGTGGGGTCTTCATTTTGCCTGAAGGGCAAGTACGTCCTTTCCATGGTTGAGATTAGAAGACATAAAAAAAGAGCTAAACAGGGATTTATGGCAAAGAAATCAAGGTACATATCTTCTGCATGACAATTTTGGGAAGTCATTTTTTAAATGACAAAGTTGCGAAGCAGAATGGCAAATAGCCAATTTTCTTGATAGCTACGCATGTTTAGATAGTGAGGGTTAATTGTTGAGACTTTTCTCTGTGTGCCATTATAAAAGATCGTAATCTCTGTGTATTCTTAGAAAAATTCAGCGGTCTTCAGCGTCACTACTTTAATATTTTCATGTCCTCCATGCCACTTCCGTCAGTTTGGGCTCGAACGCCGTCAAACTGCAGGTGTGAAAAGACGAAAATACCCTTAAGTCTAAATATGTTATTAATTTTTTTAGCATCTTAACGACTTTAAATGAAAAAACTCAAAACTAGAAAGTTGTAGATCTCGTCGAGATCTATAATTTTCATATAAAACATATTTTCATTTAATTCCGTAAATAAATATGATTTGATATGATTAATATATCTTAGAAAAATCATCATTTTTTTGCGGAATTAAATGAAAATAAATTTTATATGAAAATTATAGATCTCGACGAGATCTACAACTTTCTAGTTTTGAGTTTTTTCATTTGAAGTCGTTAAGATGCTCAAAAAAATTAATAACATATTTAGACTTAAGGGTATTTTCGTCTTTTCACAACTGCAGTTTGACGGCGTTGGAGCCCAAACTGACGAAAGTGGCATGGAGGACACGAAAAAGTTGGAGTAGTGGTGCTGAAGACCGCTGAATTTTTCCAGGGGCACATAGGGGATTGCGATCTTTTATAGTGGTACACAGGGAAAAGTCTCTTAATTGTTAGCTAGCTACAAATCAGTTCTAGTTCATCTAAACAGGAGGCCTAATTTAAGCTTTCAACTTGTTGTTAGTCAATTCCACTTAATTTGTGTACCTGATCCAAACAGGCCTTTTGAAGACCGAATACTCGTGTAGTTGGGCTTCGCGGTGGGCTTGATATGCTGGCCTCAGCCGTTTGTGGATCATTGTATCCTGGTGGCATATAAAACGGCATTGCCGGTGTTAGGCAGGACAAGAAGATTGTAAATTAATATCCAGAATCTTAATCTTAGCCTCGTCTGTTCCATCTTGCCTCCTTAGTTCTTTTCCACCATGTTTTCACAGCTAACAATCTGGTTCGTCGTCGTCATGGAGGACGGGCCCTCCCACGAGAATTTCACTCATGCTCAGGGAAGGTTATTGGGCACGAGGGATCCAAACACGAAGAAGAAATCATCATCAAGAAGTTGGCCGAGCAGGGCCTCAAATGCACACGAGTTTGAAGTGGCAAAGGAGACACACCTGGAGGCGCTTGACAAGGCCGCGGCCATCTTCAGCTCGTGGTAGCCCAAGTATTTTTTTTTCTCTCAAATACACACAAGATATGCGCATCATTGTAATTAAGGTAGAAGATTTAACATACAAACTACATGCTGCTGACGAGCGGTCTAGGAGGTCTACAGGATTACAGACGTAAACTGCACCGTCCGAGCTTACACATTCAAATTTCGATATTACACAAATGGTAGACAACAGAGATTTGGACAGGTGCAACCTAAGAAGTTGTCTTGTGTCTCCATTATTGCCAGCGCGATTCAGTTCCGATGGCCGAAAAGAGCGCTTCCAGTGCTTCGACGTTGGAAGCGATCAACCCAGCATCAAAGAGCCCCTCGTAGGCCTTCCGTCAGGGGCGGATTTGGGCCTAGGGCCACGGCCCTAGGCGTGGGCCAAATCTCCCTTTATAGCCTCTTAATTTTCCCATGGCCCAGGTTGCTATTCTCATGAAATGCCTTAGTCTTGGCCCATCAACACATCAGCGAAGGCCTGCGTTTGAAGCTCAGCAGCTGCCTGCCGGCCTGTTTGCGGCTTGCGGCCCACTGGCACAACCAAGAAGGAATCGCATAGTGGCCCACTGGCCCTAGGCGTGCAAATTGGCCAGCTCCGCCACTGCCTTCCGTCCCAACACACTTGGTGTTGACAGACCCGTGACCAAGCCCATACGCAGCGGAAAGCGCCGGCTTAGCAGGTGATGACTGCTTGGGAGGCTGACGAATTAGCGTGGAGTCGACCTTCTTGAGCACTCACTTGGTGAAGATCTTGAGGCGGAGTGCGGCAGAGTTGTCGTTGTCGTCGGCCGGATGGCCATCCCTTAGTAGCGTACTGAACAGGTCAGTGGCCGCCGTGGGCTCAGTTGGACCAAAGCCTGGTGGATAGCCTGCCTCATCCTCCGAAGATGCGTCAGCTCTCGAGGGGGCGGTCTGCGCCGCCCACGATGGCGTGACCTGAGGTTAGCCTTGTTGGGGCGATAGTGGAGGTGAGTCCGTTGCCACCCGAGCGGGGAACGAGAAGGAGCGGCCCACATCGTCGGAGAAGTGCCAGGGGGTCATCACACACCTGCAGTCTTGCTGAAAGGCTACAGGTGCACACGGAAGTCGGCTTGAATGGAGGGCCGTCTACCGTAGAGGCTACCCTTGGAACTATAGACAAGCACCCTAGCGCAGTCCGAGTAACAGCGAGGGACGTTGTAAACTCCACCAGCATTGGGTCCTCCATGACATCGCGAGTAGCATGTGTGGCATACGAGTATGGTGCTAGTGTCAACGGATCGAGCTTAGAGATGCACAATACATGACATTTTACGATGGATAGCTCGCCGTGACCGTCCCGGGCAGCGGCGGCACCCAGCGCCATCGTGATGTCAACACTACCTGGGCGTCCCCGACGTCTCCTACGTCGGCATCGACGTCCTTCGCTGACGCGCCTAGTGGCACCTAGCACAGCTCCACCCAAGTCCGGCAGACCGCCGTGGGTCGGTGGCTGAGCACAGGAGGGGTGGTCGCGACAGCCCTGAGCAGATCGTTAAGGAAGATCGCCAATGTCACTAGGGTACGCCGGATCTGCCACTACATGGACAATGAATTTTGGTTTCATTCTTGGTCATTGCATGCTTCTCACATCTTTCCATGCGAAATTGTTCTTACAGTCACTACATGGACAGTGAATTTTGGTTTCATTCTTGGTCATTTGGTCATTGCATGCTTCACTGCGACTTCAATTAATCCATTCACTTCATCAAGGAAAAGTGGCTTCCTCCTTAGTGAACCGTACGCCCATGAGTTCTTGTCTATCTTTTAAGACATCAAATCAATAAAAAGGGAATTATTTGATGTAAGTAACAAGAACTAGTATGGAAAAGAACATCTAATTAGGCAATTAATTAATATTTACTTTACAATTATAATAAAAAAATTAAATAAATTAGATGAAAACTATTAATATTGAATACATTATCAATGCAAACTTAATCTCTATTTAAAAACTAACTAATAGACCTAAAATCCATCAACTATACATTATTGTTGCCATTGTCCAAAAAAAAACTACATCAAGACGTGGACACCAAAAAACAATTAATTAATTGTTTCACCAACTAATATTCAACCCATTGTTGATGTACTAAATCATCTTTTGAAAACAAAAAAAATATCGATGTTGAGCAAAAAAAAATCTATGTCACGACCGGAAATCATGCCAACTAAAAACCCTAAATTTGTCAAACTCAAGATTCTCTTTCGTAAGTCTTGAGCGTGCTACCCTTAACCTTGTGAAGACCCCTGGAGCTTTGCATGGGATGACAACCCCAATCTCATCCTCCAACTCCCCAAGTTTCTCGGTGCAACCAAAGTCAACTCAAAGGTTAACCTCGGTCAAAATGGAAATTGAGTGCCAAAGAGAACTGAGC